CATGTACCTTGCTGGCCGGAAGGAAACCCTTCCAGCAGGCAAGGTACATGTACCTTGCTGGCCGGAAGGAAACCCTTCCAGCAGGCAAGGTACATGTACCTTGCTGGCCGGAAGGAAACCCTTCCAGCAGGCAAGGTACATGTACCTTGCTGGCCGGAAGGAAACCCTTCCAGCAGGCAAGGTACATGTACCTTGCTGGCCGGAAGGAAACCCTTCCAGCAGGCAAGGTACATGTACCTTGCTGGCCGGAAGGAAACCCTTCCAGCAGGCAAGGTACATGTACCTTGCTGGCCGGAAGGAAACCCTTCCAGCAGGCAAGGTACATGTACCTTGCTGGCCGGAAGGAAACCCTTCCAGCAGGCAAGGTACATGTACCTTGCTGGCTGGAAGGAAACCCTTCCAGCAGGTGAGGAATGTGTACCTTGCTGGCTGGAAGGAAACCCTTCCAGCAGGCGAGGTACATGTACCTTGCTGGCTGGAAGGAAACCCTTCCAGCAGGCGAGGTACATGTACCTTGCTGGCTGGAAGGAAACCCTTCTAGCAGGTGAGGAACATGTACCTTGCTGGCTGGAAGGAAACCCTTCCAGCAGGCAAGGTACATTTACCTTGCTGGCTGGAAGGAAACCCTTCCAGCCAACGGGGTTGTGCCTTGCCAACCATTTACAGGGCAGGTATCCGAAGATACCCGCTCAGATACCCGCCAGAGGCTGCAGATGCGGGTGTGGATGGCAATTTCCCTGGAAAAAGCAGCCGGATATCCATATGCGCCGGGGTCATCTCTAGTTCCAAGGAGTTGGAGTTGGGCCAGTAGAAGGTGGATCTTGCAATATCTTGACATCTGATTCAGAATTTCTGCCAGATGGACTACTGGAAGCTGCCTTGGTTGTACTTGATGCAATGGTGCCCGGATTCCCTGGATGAGGGTGCTTTATTCCTCTAGGCATCTTGAAGGTTGGTGTCAGATCTGAGGATGTGTGGACTGTGGAGGAACTGGAAGTGGAGACTAGAGACTTGATATTGAGGGACTAGAGACTACTATCAGATATCCTCATACCCCTGACCGGGGTCTGAACTCCTGGTACTACTAGTACCATATGGTGGGGTCAGTGGGCAGGATCCAGGCCAACCCAAGCAAAAACTGGGTGGTCAATACCTGCCCCACCTTGCACCAACCTGTTGGGTCATTCTTGGGCTGGGTTGCTTTTCACCCAGCACATGTCCAAGCCTGCCACACTACCCAGCAGGTCCTGGTTACCTGGCCCACTTGCATCCTGAGGTCAATCCAATCAAATGCTTGAGGTACTATTGAAAACTCAACTGCAAAAGCTTGGTTTCAACATACTTGCATAATCTGATTTTTGAGTTGTTTTTTCAGATATTAATATTCATCACATCAACACTTGAATCAATTGAATTATGACTCAAAATTTCAATGATCAACCAACATTTCAAACAAAGGAGCCAACACTGCTTATCCATGCAGGTCTCAAACAAGAATTGCCTAAGAAACCTAGTTGGTAGAATTGAAATGAGGTAAATTTTGGGTGAAGAGGCCATGGCTTCATCTAAAATAATATAGTCCACAAGGAATTTTTACTCGTGAAGATACTATATGGTGAGACAATCACTTAGGATGAGAATATATAGTCCAGGGGGAAGGGGGTCTCAATTGGGGAAAAATTGAATTGCTAGAATCACATCTTCACTTGATTAGGGCACCTCTCCACAGAGAGGCTTTTTTTGAGCTCACCTATAGTAGCAAGGCTGAAATTTCAGTCTTCATTTTGTCAGCTTGCTACTATAGCAGAGACAACCTGTCATAGTACACAAACACTGTAGAAAATACAAAAAAATATTATTATAAATAGTGCTGGAAATAAATGAGAAGATCAAATAATAAGGGCATTATTTCTCAATATTAGTAATCTATATGAAGAATGACCTAGGGTACCTCACTCAAAGGTACCCTATATTTCAACTACTTCATGCGGCAAATCTACATTAAAGATATAGTGTACCTCCAAGCAGGAAATGAGATATGCTTATGTTTATAATCAAATATGCTAATAAACAGGTTTAAGACTTGAAACTGATTTGCTGTTTCAAACATACATTTGTATATTGATAACACATGTGTGGCACATTTCCAAGGAAATAGCCACATGTTTCAGCTTTCATCTTCTACAGAACACCTGTGGCACATTTCCAAGGAGATGGTCACATGTTTCAGCCTCCATGCATGAAGCGCCCACAAGTTGACCCTGATCTCCCAGATACCTCCACGGGTATATAAAGAGCCCTCTGTCTCCCCAAATAAGGATTCATCAGATTATTACAAAAAACTTTAGATTACCCCCTGTCCCAAATGCTTAACATTTGTATCTGTCTGGTAATGTATTGTCTCTTGCTTTAATTCTCTGTCTATCAGAACCTCAAGACTTAAGGGGCTTTATTAGTACATAATGCCCCCTTCTTTCTTGAGATTCTTACTACTTTCTTCTGGGATTTAAACCACCCCTGTTAAACAGGCCCCAGTGTTAACGGGTACCTAAATCCTCTGCTTTTGCACAATACCTTAGAGGGAACTAAACCATCCCTGATTTATCAGGCCCCTCTGTTTAAATTATGTCAATATTTATTGATATAATTATTCATTTCTACTATCTCATAACCTTGTAATTACCACTCATTGTTGGAATTACACACCGGACTCTTTAGTCCCAGAGTTCAAACTCTAACATCTTAAGTTTTGCACCACGTGTAGCTAGAAGATTTACCATCTTGGCATCACGGTGGCTGACACATTTGATCATTGAACCAAAAGGTATTGTGCCACAGTGGTTTTCAACCTGGTGGGATTGTTCTGGTGCTAATTCATTGTGGGGTCCCTGTGTATTATGGAATCCCTGGGTATTCTGGGAAGAATGAATGTAGTTTGAGTGGTCTTGCTGAGATTGATATTTTGGTGACGTCATGGGGTAGGGCTTTTCCTGCTGCCTCATATATTTTGATTTTCTCATGTGTGCAGCCTTCCAGATCATCACGGAGGAATTTTTTGTTCTTGACAGATGTTAATAAGCAGTTGTTATTGGTACATAGGAAGTAATTCTGTGTGCGTTCTTCCTGACAGATCTCACTTGCTGATACAGGCTCTTTACACACTGCAGAGATAGGATATTTATGTTGCATAATCTCCTGAGCAATACTGTTGCACTGGGCACATAGGATTTGGCTTGCCAGGATTTTGGGCATGAGTTCCATGAAAATTGCAAGGACATGAATTTTCTTCAAGATCATAGCAGGTAGGCTGGGTCAATGAGGAGTTGCAGTTGGGAATTGAACTGGTGTAGTGGTTTAGTAGTTGAATCACAGCAGGGCAGTTTATAACTGTTACACTATAGCAAGGGGGGGACATAGCCTCCTGATTGAATTTAATTATACCACAGAACTATCAGCAATATTGGAGTGATCATGAGATGAATCACTAACCATCTGAGAAACACCTGAAAGATTAAATAAAAAAACAAAACAATAAAGAATCTTAACAACAATAGGACGGCTATGCTGATTTTAGTGTCAGTGCAGTGGAAGAGATCTACTCATCCACAATACTCAAGGCCTTTCTGAATATTCCACATAGCAATAATTGATCAATCTATTAAGGCTTATCTACTATTGTTAGACCATCCATTCCCATTGGGGAATGTCGGAATTCTCGGAATTCTCTCTTCTTGTTATCCGCGCCTTCGCTCAGTCCGCTCAGTCCGCTCAGTCCGCTCAGTCCGCTCAGTCCGCTCAGTCCGCTCAGTCCGCTCTCTCAGTCCGCTCTCTCCAATCCTCACCGATCGCTCTACATCTCTCTCAGTCCTCAAAACACTCAACCATACATCCTCTCATACGACACCTCATTACCCTTCTCCAACGCCTCATCACCCTCTCAACTCCTCATCGCCTTGAACAAAACACTATGGGAACAAACCTAACCAACCACAATCCAACCGACTTCGATCCTCAACCACAATCTGAACCGGTCGACACTAACCTATAAAAGCCATCACTGCCGCCGCTTTTCTCACTGCTTTTCTCCTCAGCAGTCTTCGACATCTTCACTCATTGTCACCCCTCGAACCTATTCCAACTTCAACTGCTCGACTCACCATCTACCTCGACTTCTCTCAACCATTCCCCTCATCATTCTTCTCCGACTTCATTTCTTCTCTTCCCTCATTCTCTACTTCCTATCCCTCTTCTCTCTTATTGTTCAATCTGTAAGGGTTGAGAATCCCTTCACTATTCTTGATGGAAAAGCTCGCAGGGACAGGACACGTAGTCAGGAGTTTCTAAGACCAAACAGAGGGGGAGCTTTTATTTCACTGGCTCAGAGAGATGAGGGATCAGTTCTCTCTCATACATACAACTCTTTTAGATATATAAGAAAAGAATGAAAGAGGAATCAGAAAATGGAAAGGCTTACCTGGCTCAGAGAGATGAGGGATCAGTTCTCTGTGGAGCCAGGTTAGGATCTCAAACAAGAATGATTGTAACTACACGGGAATATTAATCTGTGACACTCCTTGTGAAACCCAACAGCGGAGGGGTTCACTATTCTTGATGGAAAAGCTCGCAGGGACAGGACACGTAGTCAGGAGTTTCTAAGACCAAACAGAGGGGGAGCTTTTATTTCACTGGCTCAGAGAGATGAGGGATCAGTTCTCTCTCATACATACAACTCTTTTAGATATATAAGAAAAGAATGAAAGAGGAATCAGAAAATGGAAAGGCTTACCTGGCTCAGAGAGATGAGGGATCAGTTCTCTGTGGAGCCAGGTTAGGATCTCAAACAAGAATGATTGTAACTACACGGGAATATTAATCTGTGACACTCCTTGTGAAACCCAACAGCGGAGGGGTTTTACAGTCTCCCCTCCTATAAAAAAATTGAAGGAAGAAAGGAAAATAGATAAAAGCATTAAAACAATTCCCCAGCCCACGCGGTTTCCTCAGTACCCCGCAATGTCGTCAGCCAAATTGTCAGTCCAGCCACTAGAGTTTTGGGTAGCCTGGTCGATTTCATTTTGTAGAAGTTGGTTATCAAGGTCCTCCAGTGCAGCTACAGCTGCCGTACCAAGGGCTGGGAAACAACCTTTGTCGTCAAATTCATGGTCGAGGCGTGCGTCTTCTCTGATAGCTGCATCGAGAGTCAATCCAGCAACTTGAACTTCAAGCGGCGTTACTTCTGCAATGCCTGCTACGCTAGCAGCACGAATTGGAGGTCGGCCGGCCGGAGGTTGAGATGATCGTCCGGGACCGGTAGGTGGTTTACTCCAGGCACGGGGGGCTACATAATCGAGAGGTTTGGTCGGTGTTTGAAAAGCCACAGGAATGTTGATGTGAGAGCGGTCGATCGGTCCGGGGCAGGCTCCTGCGGCATTACCACAGTGTTTCTTGCAGAAATGACAGAGTCCTTGTGAATCCAGGTACGCATGGACTCGCCAAATGAACTTGTCGCGGCCCAGAGCCGGCGGTGTAGTAGTGGCTGACTTGGCGGCTGTCGGTGGATCGGTGGCGCGTTGTAACGTAAGGAAGGAAGCGTTTGCCTGTTTTTCAAAAGGGCCGTACTTGAACGGAGCTACCTCTAAGAGCTGCCTTTCGTTGATTTGGTCTTGTAATGCGTCGCTCAGTCCGTAAACAACGAATTGGGCAAGCTGTAGGTCGCCAAGTTTAGACGACACCTCCGCGTCAAAATTGAAGAGACTCTGCAACGTGCGAGCTCTCGTGCTGTACTCGAGGAAAGTTTCGGTCGATGTCATGTCGAGTTTGCGGATCTGGCGTTGTAGTCCCGAGCGCCAGTTGGTGGGGAGCGCAAAATCAAACATTCGGGCCTTGAATTCCCCCCACGACTTGGTGAGGAACCCCGCAGCCTCGTTTGCATAGAACGACTGTAAGTTCGTTTCTGCGATGAGGTTGCCAACTATCTTGATTTTGTCTGCTGCGTTGGAGACATCCTTCGTTTCAAAAAAAATTTGTACGCCGTGTATCCACCGTAGGAACGACTCCGTTTCCTGAAAGGGGCCGCGGTATGTGGGTCCATCCGAAGTCCGGAATTTTTGGAGGTCGACCCGACCTGGTGTTGGTTGTGTAGGTCGGGCATTAACTTCATTTGTGACGTTCATTGCCAGAAGCAGATCCTCCAGTCGGCCGATGCGATCTGCGCTGGCTTGATGAACGGCAAGAAACATCTGTCGGTCAGCCCGGCGGTCTTCCAAGGCTTGACGGCGGTCTTCCTGAGCTTGGACGATGGACGAATGTTGGATCTTGAGCACGGCCTTGAACCATTCTTTGGCCGTGCTCATATCGGATCCGTCGGCAGTACGGGCAGAGTCACGGGTGGAATCGGCGGTTGGTTGTTCCTGGCCGCCGGATGGAGGGACTGTGTCCGACATGGTCTCGGACGCTGTGATTGACGTAGAAGGGAGAGGGGCGATAGGCCTGTTGGCAAGTTGTTTACTGCGTTGTTTTTCGGCGTTTCCAGCCTTGATGATCGCTTCGGGATCAGATAATGGGATCACGTTATCGTCGGTGGCGTTGGTCCGCGTTATCATATACCAGATCGAGTGCGATGGAGGGACCCAAAGAAGAAAAATAGAAAGGAGAACAGTCGCAAGAGGGCAGTATATCGATCGGAACAGTAAATCAGATGAAAGTAGTATAACAATCGGAACAGTAGATCGGAGCGGAACAGTAAGTCGGAACGGAACAGTAGAACAGTCGGATTTATTCGGAACAGTGCAGTTCAAAGCGGAATGAAGTCGGATGAAGCAGTCGTTCCAATCAGTTGTTGTTGAGGTTTGGTGTGAGAAAAAAAAAGTGTAAGGGTTGAGAATCCCTTCACTATTCTTGATGGAAAAGCTCGCAGGGACAGGACACGTAGTCAGGAGTTTCTAAGACCAAACAGAGGGGGAGCTTTTATTTCACTGGCTCAGAGAGATGAGGGATCAGTTCTCTCTCATACATACAACTCTTTTAGATATATAAGAAAAGAATGAAAGAGGAATCAGAAAATGGAAAGGCTTACCTGGCTCAGAGAGATGAGGGATCAGTTCTCTGTGGAGCCAGGTTAGGATCTCAAACAAGAATGATTGTAACTACACGGGAATATTAATCTGTGACACTCCTTGTGAAACCCAACAGCGGAGGGGTTTTACACAATCTCACCGCCGTTGACTTCACATCTTATCAACCTCACCACAATCATCACTCATCCTAATTCCGCTGTCACTCTCTCTTGAAATCTTCAATTGGCTTCTGCCAATTTGGTGAGAAAAAACAACCTCCTCTCTCTCTCATTTCTCATCGCTCAAACATTAACTTTCTCTTTCTATTTTCTCTCTGGTCTGAAAGTGTCTACTATCTATCCTTGTTTGATCTGGTCTATTTCAGTCTATCTGTTCTGTCTAAATCAAAATACAAATCCTCACGTGGTAAATCTCTTTTCTTTTTCAAATTCATGTTTTCTTTTTTGACATCATTGTTAATTGTTGTCATTTGATTTGTCAGTTCTGGTTCTAGCTTCAATTATAATTCCTGTTTTTCATCAGGGAATAACTAATCCCAGGTGAGTCTTTGTACCCTGGATGCCTATAAATACCTTGTATCAATCTGAATGCGCTGTTGATAGTATGCCTCTCAGTAAAGACCATACTGATAGAGTGAAACCTCCTCAACATGACATGTATTACCACCCACTACCTAATACCCACCATGCTCAAAACTTCAGTCAACACTCACAGTAACAAATTTTACCCTAAAATAAATCCTTCTGGTCTTGAGATACAAAGAACTCACTGACCAGAAGGAAATCCTTTTTTTCAATGAGGTTGTAATACATTATTGACCAGAAGGGTCTCTTCTGGACGGTAAGTGGGAGTGACAACTCCCAAAATCCCTCATGCTTGAGGATTGGCTTGGGGAGCCAACTCCCAAAAAGTAAAAAATAAAAAATGGATGGCTGACTCCCAAAGTCAGCCATCCATTTGGAGGAGCAACTCCCAATGATTGTACTTCAAGCTCAACAGTTTTTGGAATTTGTTGAATAGAATTCAGGAGTTGTAAAACATAGGCCCTACAAATAAACACCTGATACTGCTTTGTCTTATCTCTGTTTCAGCATTGGGACACACCAGCTTGTCTTTGTCTTCCCCTTGTTCATGGGTGTCCAAGGGGACAGCTGAAGTTTTATTTAGCATAACAGCAACAAATCTTATTTTTGGTTTTGGTATTTGTATTACCAATGAAATCATCATCCTTGAGTTTGCCACCAGCTTGTTGTGCCAAATCATTGGCATCATCCACGATTCCTTGGCCAGTTTTCTCTTGCCCCACCAGGGCCTCACAGAATTGTTTCTCAAGGGTAGTGACCTAAATGGGAAGGTTCATATCCCTCAACCCACATGAGTCTGTCTTAACAGCCCTGATGTGAAGACCTACCTGTTGTTTGATGCCACACCACAAATGACTCTCACTGCCATTGTTGATCAAGTATTGATTGATCAAATCACAAACCTCCTGCTTGCTGACAGTGTAATTTTTCCAGAGGTGGTAGCGGCCTTTGACAGTTAGCTACTCAAAAATCAGGTCAAGGGAAAAAATCCCATCTTGGTTGTGATCCTTGGTCCACAAGCAGGGAGCCAATCAATTTACTGGTTGGCTAAAAGTTTGACCATGTTGGTTAGCTGGCCACAATGGGCTTGAATTTGGGTGCCTCCACCCCTGCTGCCAAGACTTCCATGTCCTCTAGCTGGTGTTTGGTGACTTGCTGGTTGAGGGGTTAGAGTGGTTGTGGTGTGGCCTGTGGGTGGTTTTTGAGTTGGTTGTGAGGTGTCAGTCTGGGTTGGCTAAGTTGATTCAATGGTAGAAATTTTGGAGCAAGATTTCCTGTATGAGGGGAAGGTTAGTGGCACTGGTGATGATGGGTTGAATGTGGGTGAGTTTGGTGGGTGGTCTCAAGGGGACACTCATGCGATGTAAAAAAGTTCTTTTGCAAAAGAGATGGAGTTTGGGGGAGTGCATAGATTTTTCTGGGAATTTTTTATGCTTCATGATTTCATGCAATCTACGATTTCATGATGTCAACTTTGAAGACCATAATTGTAGGACTTACGACGTAGGTCACGGTAATCTTCAACTGGACAAGCAAATTTCTTCAGAAATTCATCAAACAGGAATTACAATACCATAACGGGTCAATTATGATATGAGGGAGCCAGCTCTATTTTCTGCAACCTAACCAGATTGAACTTACAAAAATTGGCCTTCCAGATTTCTTGTACCTTTTTGGCCAAGATGCCTCTTTCCAATCATAGTTTCGAAGCTCGCAATTTGTCAAACCACAGGCACACGAGGATAGCCATGCTTCTTGGCTATAGAAAGAAATCAAACACTTAACCCAAACGTTGGGAGGGGTAGCTACAGAAAGTGATTTAGTATTTCTCCTCCCAAAGGGGGGGCATTCTTTTTTTTTCTTCGTGCGCCAAAATTGGCCGCTTTGGTGTAAGTCCCTCCGAGGGACTTAGATAAGTTCGTAACCAGATGGGCGCGGAGCTAGCTATAACTGCTTCAAAAAATGAAAGACTGTCGGGTAAGCGTGCTCTTGTCATTGCACATGGTGATGAGTGGCCTCCGAAGCGCCAACCAAACCATCGACGTCTTCCTAAACTTCGAAATCGATAGGACGACTGAAGGCCAACAGCTTAGCCAAAGGACCTTGGCAGCCAAGAAGCAAGTACTATTGATTGCAATTCATCGCTATTTGTATGCCCATGCCAACCGTTATCGAAGAGCGCGACTTGTATCTTACCTAGTCATTTAGTTGACTGGGTCTCGGTAGCACTTGGTTTCGCGATCACTCGGCTGATTTTGGAGGCAGTTGGAACAGGTTGGAACATACATAAATAGACAGCTTGTTCTGACCTCGTTCCAAGGGCAACAGTGTTCAACCCTTAATAATTTCAAAAATTTCAAGCCCAAAGAAACCTATCAAGAAAGCCCGAGCCAGACTATCCATCCCAAGATTATAGACTCCCGCGTCATGTACCCAAAACTCCCAACTGCTACATTAGCAACCATCTTCATCGTAGCTTTGACTTTTGTATCGGGGAGTCCGGTGCCCCAGGATAGCACATCTACAGCTTACCCACGCCCCATCTCTGCTCAGCCGGAGTAGGCCTGATCTGTACGAAGTTGCATGCTGGAGCTCTTCCCTCCAAAATCTGGGTAAGCATCAAGTTCTTGAATCGATATCCTATATCATCCTTCTTGATAGTATACTAAATGAAGCGATATGACGACAAGAACAGAACAAAATATTACTATCTTGCCTGTGGCAGAAAATATTTCGGGGCGCGAGCGTTTCCTGGACCATGAATACAATAATCAAATCGTCGACACGATCTCTAATTATTGACCTTAACTCCCTCTGTGTTTTTATCCATCAAAGGTTGCAAAATGTATAGATTTCTTTGCCCACATACCCTTTTCTGATCGTGCAGATTGTTTCGTGCCTCTTGCAGTCTCCGCTATCTTTTTCTGTACTCTTTTACATCAATCATAGAGCTATCGTTCAAATTTGATCTTCACATTTGATAGATGATATGTGGTATCTCCATTCTTAGCAGATGAAACTAGATGGTTTGTGACACCTTCCTAACTGTTGTTAGAAACTTCTACCTGCTTGGAAAAAACAATTGTATTATATAATCAAGATACCATAATGTAGAAATCAAAATGCCTGTCTGGAATCTGTGAACCTCTTGAAATAGAATGGTTCATAAAGGTGTTGATATAGAGAAAAAGCTGCCTCAAATCAATCATGTAAAGAATTGAATTTCATTTCAATTTCAGTGAGCTGTTGATCATCTGAGACATTTGCTCATCTTTACCATAGTCTACATCAGGCCTTGCTGATATAGATATTCAACTTTGTTAAATTAAGTCTGTTTGAGTTGAAAACCTATCTCTGAAATGATATGTTTCCTGATTCAATTTAAGCATGCCAGGCTTTCTCAAAAATCCCAATTTTCAACCTGAAACTAACAACCTTTCAGGAACTCAGGAACAATTGAAGCATTCTGAAAGAAATCAACAATAATCAGCTGACACAAGTTGAAATTCTCAGATAAGACAACTTACTTTAGTCAATCAACAATAAGGATGTGAAAGGTATTTGTTGGAAATTTGCTGAGACATCATCTATACAAGAGGGAGCCAAAAACTATGAACCAGACTACTAGTTCAAACTTGACCTAATATGATCAGACCACTTCTTCCTTCCACCACTGATTCATGTATTTTCCCCCTTCTTTTTTTTATCTTTTCTCCCTCAACCTCTTCCTTCCTTGTTGTTTTCACCCCTACCTTGCCTCATGTTTCCCTTTTTTTCAATCTTACATTGCTGTTCTTACCTCTCTGACTCTACAAAATCATCTTCCACTCAACACACAACAACTTTCATCTCCAATTGGGTAAGAAATTAGCATTGTCAATCATACTCTCTTTTCATGCTTACTCAACTTATGTCTTGTGCGCTTCTCTCTCTCTCTCTCCATACATTCTTCAATTCTCTGATCTCCATCCTTTACGATTGGTCAAGACAAATTGAATTTGAGAAAAGTGTCAAAGGATAGGAGGGGAGGCTGGAAAGCAAGAATAAGGAGGGGTGTTAATTTGAATTGATTAGGTAGCTGAATGAAGAACACTTTCCCAGCCAGCAAATTTTAGGTAGTTTTTATTGGTTCACCAGCCAAAAAAAAGGTATTGTGTGGCGGCTTTTTAATTAAGCTTATGGGTTTATGGGGATGGAGGCTCTTCAGGTAAGAACATGAAATATGTTGTTTTGCCAATCGTTCTGGAGGGTGTTACACCTGCTGAGGATGATGGTTGAGAGGGTGCTTGAGAGGGTGGAGGGACACGTGGTCCTAAGAATAGCATCTTGCCTTTATGGGTACATGGAGGTTCTGGATCATCCCGATGAACAACTGTGTTTTTGATTGTTATGGCCTTACAAACATCACATTCATAATAATTCTTTTGGCGGTAATTCTTACAGTCTTCATTCCCTAAGGGCTCATTACACCGTTCAATTGGAGGGTATGGGTGTTGAAGCAACTCCATAGCCCTTTGTCTGCAAGAATCGACGGCACATTGAACATAAGTTCCATTAGCACTATAAGCCCCTGGGATGAAGGAAATGAATAAGACAAAGAGGATGTTCTTGGGTAGCATTTCAAGGGTACTGTGTTGGAAATGTGTTTGATTTGGGAATTGAACCAGTGTTGCAGTTATCTTGGGGGAAGCAAGCCAATGTGAGACAAGGTTCAACTGTCACAGCTATTGCAGTGGGTATCAAACGCTTTGCATTGGATGGTTTTATACCACCAGTCCAATCTAGACAATCGGATATTTGAAAGGCTGGCCACAGTGACAGCAAAAAAAAGGGGCAAACCAAATCACAAGACAGAGTGTCTACAGATAATGAAGTTAGTTACTTAGTGAGCTTTTCATGCCTCAAGGTTCAGTAGTGTACCAGGGCTGTCCACTTTTTGTCTAGAAAATGAGCCCACTAGATTGATTTGAGAGAGAAGTCAATCTGACCTAATGTCTCACAATTCCCTCCCTACAGACATTTACCAGAGGGAGCCAAGACCTATGAATCAGACTACTACTTCAAACTTGACCTGGTCTCATTAGAACACTTCTTCCTTCCACCACTCCCCCATCATGATGACCTCTTTTTGACTCTTGACTTGCTGATCTTTCTTTAACTACCAGAAAGTTTGCCATCAGTTAACATGCCATTTTACTTGTACAAAGGCATCTTTGTGATCTTGCAAGTCAACTGCACACAGTTGCACAACTTTTTTCTTGTGACCTTGTTATAAACTCATGATCTTCACCTCCCCATGTTGAAGTCTAGGCTCAAGCTCCTTAACTCACTTAAACCTTAGCCTTTTTTTTCCCTCAATGTTGAAATGATGATGTCATTTTGCTCAAGCCTCTGCAATGACATCACCACATCTAGTTAATTATCTGAACTCTCTGCTTCCTCATCATTGCTGCTGATTCCTCTGAAGCCTTTGCACAAACCCATTTCTTTTTACTTATCATATCGCTCTCTCACCTTGAATTGTTTCTCCCCTTCAGTCCTCAGGAAGAAACTATTTATTATTCCTCACTCACACTCATCATTGTTTCCGTCAAACACACTCAACTCTTCTCCACTTCATATCAAGATTCTTATCTTACATTGCTGTTCTTACCTCTCTGACTCTACAAAATCATCTTCAACTCAACACACAACAACTTTCATCTCCAATTGAGTAAGAAATTAGCATTGTCAATCATACTCTCTTTTCATGCTTACTCAACTTCTTGTGTGCTTCTCTCTCTCTCTCTCTCCATACATTCTTCAATTCTCTGATCTCCATCCTTTACGCTTGGTCAAGACAAATTGAATTTGAGAAAAGTGTAAAAGGATAGGAGGGGAGGCTGGAAAGCAAGAATAAGGAGGGGTGTTAATTTGAATTGATTAAGTAGCTAAAGAATAATTTCCCAGCAAATTTTGGGTAGTTCTTATTGGTTCACCAGCCAAAAAAAAGGTATTGTGTGGCAGCTTTTAATTAAGCTTATGTGTTTATGAGGATGGAGGATCTTCAGGTAAGAACATGAAATATGTTTTGCCACCAACGATTCTGGAGGGTGTTACACCTGCTGAGGATGATGGTTGAGATGATGCTTCAGAGGGCGTAGGGATACAAGGTCCTAAGAAGAGCTTCTTGCCTCTATGAATACATGGTGGGTCTGGATCTCCTCGATGAACAACTTGGTTTTTGATGCTTATGGCCCCACAAGTATCACATTTATAATAAGTCTTGTAGCGGTCATTCTTACAGTTTTCAATCCCTAAGGGCTCACCACACTTTGAAATTGGAGGGTATGGGTGTGGAAACAACTCCAGAGCCCTTTGTTTGCAAGTATTGTTGGCACATTTGACAAACGTTCTATAAGCACTATAAGCCTCTGGGATGAAGGACATCAATGAGACAAAGATCATGTTCTTGGGTAGCATTTCAAGGGCAATGATTTGATAAAGTATCTGAGTTGGGAATTGAACTGGTGTTGCAGTTAACTTGGGGGATGTGTCACAATGTGAGATGAGGTTCAAGTTCAACCGTCACAGATATTGCAGTGAGCATCAAACCCTTTGCATGGTATGGTTTTATACCACCAGGCCAATTTAGACAATCAGATATTTGAAAGGCTAGCCACAGTCGGGATGCAAGTGGGCCAAGTTCAGGTCAAAAAACGGTGACCAAACCTGCCCAGCCAAATCCTCGGGGCGGGGCGGGGCGGGTCGGGGCAAAAATTGTAAAATGTTGACCAAACCCGGCCCAAATACACAGTGCCTCGGGTTGGGTCTTGGGAGTCAGTCAATCTCAGGCCAACCTGAATACATTCCGTCCTGCTCATACCCGCCCCACCAACCTGTTGGGTTAAATCCTGATTGGGTCAATTTCCAATCCTAGCCTGCTCAAACCCGCCCTGTGACCCTCCGGGTTGCGGGTACCCGGCGGTTTGACCCGACCCACTTGCATCCTGAACTGCCACAGTGACAGCAAAAACGGGGCAAACCAAACTACAAGACAGAGTGTCTACAGATAATGAGGTTAGTTACTTAGTGATCTTCATGGTTCAGTGGTTTGCCATGGCTATCCACCTTTGTTCTGAAAAATGAGCCCACTGTGATTTGAGAGAGCAGTCAACCTGACCTAACATATCACAAGTCCCTCCCTAGACATATATACCAGAGGGAGCCAAAACCTATGAACCAGACTACAACTTCAAACTCAACCCAATCTGAATAGACCTCTTTTTGCTGCTCTTTCTACTCTAACTGCCAGAAAGAGTTTGCCAGTTGACATTCCATTTTACTTTTACAAAGGTTAGGCATCTTTGTGATATTGCAAGTCAACTGCACACAGTTGCACAACTTTTTCTTGTGACCTTGTTAACTCATGATCTTCACCTCACCACTCACCAACTCTCATCAGTTGAACCAGTCACAATTCATCAAGAAACCAACACCAATTGATCATACCCTAATTTTCACTCAGCCTCCTCCAGTTAATATATTTACATTGTGTCATGGGATGTATTCTTCAATCTCCATCCTTGAAAACTTTTGCAATCTCCTGTTTCCTTTCTAGGAATCATTTTCAAATTTCACCAATTATGGTTGAAGAGTCCATGATTGAAAAAATCAGAATATAAGATCAATCAAGAAGGTATATATATGTGATCCCATTATGAACCAAAAAAAAAAAACACAATCAAGACATATGGATATGCAATTGACCAATCAAGAAAGAATGTGTTTTTTATCATAACAGTCAAGTCTACACGCATACAAGTATCCAAAATCTCCCAAAAAAAAGAGCACATGTACACACACAAAAAGACGACCCCATGAAGAACAGAAAGGATCAAACAAGTGGATTGATGGGAAGACTTGATAAGCAGATATTGATCCTGATTTATCTTTCTACTCTCTGCTTGAATCCCCAATCCCATGCCCCTTTTTTGTTGAGTTTTTAGTTTTTTTTTTTTTGTGGGGGAATGGAAGAGCAATGAAAATGTGTGTATATTATATGTAGATCACTAGAAGGAAACAACAAACCAAACACTAAAGTATAGAATGTATACCAATTAAAAAGAAAGGAACAATTATCTACAAAGAAGAAGAAGAAACAAAAAGGAAACAAAAATGAAGGTATATATAGATGTACAGAAAGAAACTGTAACGGTTGAATCTTTGGATGTATGTGTATATATGTGTACGTCTTAAGCTACATATATTGACATACGTTGAAGGAAAAGAATCAGATTTCAAGGAATTCAAACAAAGCACAAATCATTTTTCTTTCCTTAAGGAGGAGACGACAGGATGATGATGATCATCATCAAGAGACCGAACCAAGACCATCCGTGGGAGTGGAGAGGGGTGGGGGGGTTGAGGCAAAGGAGCGAGGATTTAGGTAGGGGGATACGATCAACACACATTAATGGAGAAAAAAAAAAGAAATCGGACTCAATGTATTGTAAAACACATGATACTAACCAAAAAAAAGAACATAGGAAAATAAGAGAAGAAAAAAAAAAGGAGGAAGGAAATCATCGGGCGTATTTACTCGTTTCAAGTCTAGCAAATTGACGATGAAGAGAGATCGCCTGCAACCGAACCCCAAACAACAAGAAGAAAAAAAAGTGAGCTTCCCGAATGTCATATCCAATCTTCTAAATGAAAGTGTGTAAGCTTACTTTACTCATCGCAGCCAACTGCATAAAAAATCGCATACGCAGACGAAGAGGAGACTTGTGAGCACGGTGACAAGAAAAAAAAAGGTATTGGTGATAAGGAAAAGGAAAGAGACGAACGAGTTCAGGGGCCAACAAAGGTTTGGTACAAACGCCTGACATCTAACAAACCAGTCGGAAAAAAATAGAGCGAAAAATTAGAGTCCATCTAGACGAAAGAGAAAAAAAGCCTAGATAGTATGGGAAGGAGAAAGATAAGAGAAGATAGACAAACCCCAGCTTTCATGCATTTTTCACGATCTCCGACGAGTGCATGAGCAGTGACGCCGATGATAGGCACAGGAGTGACTGAATGCGTTTGTTCCCACATCCTGATATCTTGTGTAGCTTCTCTACCATCTTTAACAGGCATCGAACTACATGCAAATCACCCACATTAGTATTCCTTGTTGTTGTTGTTTTTCTTTTGGTGAGAAGAAAGAAAAAGAGGAAGGGAAAATACTAACACATCCATCAAGACGATATCGTATTGGTTAGCTTGGACTGCTTCAAATGCTTCTTGTCCGTTCTCAACTACTTCTAAACATTTTAAACCTGAACTAGCTAATAATCTACGAGCTACGATTTGATTGATTTTATCTATTAGAACCGACGCCGAAGACCATGAAAGAAAATAATGATTAGCCAAAAAAGCCGATCAAGCTCAAGAACAGGTGTAGCAGCAGAAGGGGAAAAAAAGGGACGCACTGTCTTCGGCCAAAAGGATTTTCCAATCCGCCTTAACATCATGATTACCCAACTTTCGCATACTTTTCTTGAGAGCGATATGAAGAGCGTTACACAGCTCAGCCTCGCCCTTCCCAGTTTCGATGACCGAAGCAAGAGAGAAATCAAGAGCGCGACGCATATCAAGTTTAGGGAGAGTAGCAGCCCTAAGTACAAGAGGTAAGAAACGATTAGAGCGAAGTTTATCGGCTTCTTCGATCGTTGAGATGATTGCGCAATCGAATAAGTCTCCCGAAGGCACTTCTTCGATCGATGGTACCCGGTGAACCGATAGTCCAAACTTCAGGCAGGACGCTTCAACATCATCTAGCTCCTTGTCATCGATCAGCAATACACATTGGTCTGTATCTATCTTCTCGATCTGCTTTCGTAACTCTACTTCTGGATCCGCTGGTCCCAAAATCACATCAAATCCAAAATCTGAACCCTTGCCTACTTCGGATTCCACATCCAAATGTCCACCCATCATTTGAACCAAGTTACGCGAAATTGTTAAGCCCTATTTTGAAAAAAAAAAAAAAAAACATTCAATGTGTTATTAATTGTGTAAGGATGAGTCAATTTAAGGGCTAACTCACAAGACCAGTCCCACCATATTTCCTTAATGATCAAGGATGAAGTCGCACAACAACCGTTTAAATAAGCATCCAAAAGACTTCAGATAACAAATATGATGATCACTTACCTAGTGACTGACCCATCGGCTTGCATGAAGGAGTCGAAGATGCGCTGAAGTTTATCTTCCTCAATTCCAATACCTAAGACAACACCGATTCATTAAACCTATCTGACAGTCTACAGAGGAAAGAAAATGGAACTGAACCTGTATCAATCACATGGAATTCGACTCTCCATCGACCTTCTGGATCGGTGCCCATAAGATGAGCAGTCAAAGTGATCGAGCCAGACGTAGTGAACTTTTGACTATTACCAACCTGAACACAGAACCAGACCATTTCAAGACGAAGAAGACAAATTAACACTAACTCCATACAAGATCTATAGCTTTTGAGGGAGAGCGACACTTACCAAGTTCTTGACGACTTGTCCTAATCGAGAACCATCACCGACGACGAGATCGGGTACGGCGGGATGGATTTCGAGAAAGACGTCCAAGTTTTTAGCGGCAGCTCCGAAGGCAAGACTGGTAAGAGCCTCAAAGATGACTTCACGCAGGGAGAAGGTACATCGTTCCAGAGCCATCCGACCACTATTTCACAGAATTTTCGCCAACAACAACCGATGATAGTCATGAACATTAGTTATCATCGTTAAGTGTTCGAGTAAGGTAAGATAACTCACGCCTCGATCTTAGTGATATCCAAGATATCATTAATGATTCGTAAGAGTGCATCGGCCTGCCCGCGAACCAAGTTCAAGTTCTCACGTTGTTCCCGGGTAAGGTTGCTGCCTAAGGTATCGAAAGTCAGGCCAATGATAGCATTCAAGGGGGTTCGGATCTCGTGACTCGTGCTGATTATGAAACAGAAAAAAAAACATTAAAAAAAACCCAGTTTGCGGGGGAGGAAGCAAAAGCTTACTTCGCAAGGAATTGACTCTTAGCCAACGAATGAGCCTCAGCGGCCTCCTTGGCTTTAACATTACTCTCAAAAGCCGTCCTGAGCTTAGTGACCATAGTATTGATATTACTCTGAAGGGCACGGATGTCGCCCTTGGCAGCGATGTTGGCCATTTTACTGAAGTCACCTGCGGCGGCTGCATCGGTCTAAGCAAGTAGAACAGGAGGAGCAATCAGTATCTTCCCAAACTCGTGTTCCGTCGGAAGAAAGGAAAAAATAAGAAAAGAAAAAAACTCACAATGGCCTGAAAGGTTCCTACTTGTGAACTTAACGTGCCTGACATTTTGTTAACCTCGCTGATGATGTGAAGGAAGACACCTAATATACAACCGGCAATCGATTAATTCTTGGTTATAAGTAACAAATGAATCTTTGCTTACCCTCAACGGCCTCGACCTCGGCTCTCACGTTGAGATTACCATCGGCAATCTCTCTGGCGATACGGACGACCTCGGTGCTAAACATATTCAACTGTTGCAACATTTGTGAATCAGAGCCAAGGTCCAGAGTTTATTAAAAAGATGGATTACTGACCCTTCCCAACATTGCATTGATCGTTTCCGCACTAGATGAAGCATGAGACAAGCGAGTTTAGTCGAGTTCAAGTCAGAACAAGGGAGGGGGATGTCACCAACAGTTGCAAGATTTCTCCTTCGGCGTCAATCTCGACTCGTTGACTCAAGTCTCCTTTAGCGACAGCAGCCTACAAACAAAAGATGGAACCCAAACAAAAGCAGCGGGATCAACTGAGAGAAGTTGATACAGTTCAACCAAATGATCATGACTTACAGTCGACCTACTGATTGCTCTCACTTGTCCCGTCACGCGGTCTACCATACGGTTGAGCCCAGTAACAAGATTGTGCCATTCTCCACGGGCATGTTTAACATTAGCCGACCCGCCTAATTTACCGGCAGTTCCAACCTAAGAGAAGCATGCCAATCAAAATTTAATCCTTTCATCAAAGATAAAAGCAGAAAAATCTTGAATGAATGAGGCCGCTTACCTCGAGGGCGACTCTAGTAACTTCGGAGTTGAAGTCCTGCAAGAACCGGACCATTGCATTGACTGTATCTCGGAGTTGGCCAACCTCACCACGAGCATCAACGGTGACGTAACTAAAACAAACGGAAGGAATGATCGGGTTTCTTTAAATCGGTATTTTGTTTCACGATAACAAATTACAATTTTTCAAGTTTATAGCTTACCTGGTCAAGTCGCCATCTGCAACAGCCGTTGTCACGCGGGCGATTTCTCGGACCTGATCGGTCAGATTCCTGGAGCCATCAAGACATCATCTTCAGTCTGAAAATCTCTGACACTCCCTCTGAAATAATGAGAGAGAGAAAAAATGGACAAATATAGGTCTTGACGAACTTGGCCATAGTATTAACCCGATCAACCAACGTCTAAGGAGGAAAAAAAAGAATCAGACCGAATCTTCCCAAAGAATTATGATGTTAAATGACAAACCTTCCACTCTCCAGAGACATTAGCAACCTCAGCTTTGCCGCCCAAAACTCCTTCAGTGCCAGTAAGCAGAGCGACGCGAGTGACCTAGAAAAAAATGGACCGAAGTGATCAGAAAAGATGACTCCATATAGGGGAAAGGGACGAGCTTACTTCAGCAGCAAAGACTCTCAAGAAAGCCACCTGAGTTGATCAATAACAACATTTAGCTCCACATTCGATACACCAATCATCATCATGCCGAGAAAAAAAAATAGGAAAAAGACATACCATACCGTTGACCGTGCTAGCTAAAGCGGCCACTTCGCCTCTAGCTTGAACGGTCACTTCCCTACGAGCAGAAAACGAAAATCACCGAGTTTCAGTGAAAATACCAATATCGTTTCTGTAAAATCTGGTTGGATGATCACTGCCGCTTACTGAGATAAGTCTCCTTCAGCAACCGCCCTTGTGACCGAGGCGATTTGTCGAACCTGTCATAATCATTAGATATCATAGGAGGAAAGAGTGAGTACCCTGGTTTCATGTGATTGATCAGAAACATCAATGTCATACTCTACAAAACAAAAATGATGAATGTCCACCATGACTTGATCAGTACGGCATATACCTGATCATTACGATTTTCAATGGAAAGGGAAAGGAAGATACTAACTGAGATGTTAAGTTATTGGCCATCTCTGCAAACCATCAACAAAAACGATTACAACCAAAAGTCCAGAAACAAAACAGCAAGAAGGGGCGTCAAAAAGAATTCAAGCGTCAAGGGACTTTTTTTTGTATTGTGTCGTTTTCGATGGGAAAGATAACAATCTATTACTTCAAAGATGAGACGATAACTCACGATTGACGCTATGTGAAAGATCATACCAAGCCCCTTATCATCGCCAAAAGAAAAGCCCCAGCAGACGAAAAAAAAAAAAAAAGATGAGTAACCTCGTCTGGTGGTCCGATCGAAGTGGAATGTGAGCATGAATTACCTTCGACGTTTGGGATATTAGCCTGTCCGCCAAGCTTACCTAATCAATCAAGACGAATGAACGATCGAAGAGAATGATCAATTTTCTGAATAAAAAAAAGGGAGTGGGGGGAAAGAGGAGGAGAGACAAACCTTCGACGCCTACTTCACGAGCCACCCGTCCGACCTCTTCAAGGATCACTTTAAGAGTGTCAACCATCGAGTTAACCTATTTCATTCATTCATCCATCCATCCACGCCAAAATCGTATCCAAAAAAACAAACAAAAGTGTGATTAATCATGATGAGTGTCTTGTGTAAGCAAAGAAAAAAAAAAGAAGCGACATACCGTTTTCTTTAAATCGGCCTAGAGAAGCAAGGAACAAACAAACAGGAAATGGTTTGAGATCAATGGATGAAAGAAGCAGAGAGAGAGAGAGAGAGAGAAAGGACAGACGGACCATCTCTCCTTTAGCCTCTACCTCGATCTGTTGGCTAAGATCGCCCTTGGCGATGGCGGAGGTGACAGCAGAAATCTAAACACGTCAAAAAAAGGGGGAATAGAAGTGAGTCAACTCCCTACTTGAGCCGTGCAAAAAAGAGCGCAAGGTCTAAGGAAAGGAGGGGGGCCAGAAGACTGACACTTCGGACTTGAGAGGTCAGGTTACTACACAAACAAACAACTGTCAGCTGTTATTCGTTCGGTTTGGGGAAGAGAGAAGGGGAAATGCCAAACCTGGCCATCGAGTTCACGCTATCGGTTAAGTCCTGATTCATGACAAAAGAAAGAGGTCAGACGAAAACCCTAAACAAAAAGAAAAAAGAGGATTATGTGGCGAAGAAAGATGCCGATCGTACCTTCCAGACGCCCTCGACTCCATCGACTGTAATCTGTTGATCAAGGATCCCATCCGTACCAACCTAAACAAAGAAATCAAATAAAACCTCAGAACCACATCAAGAATCGTCTCTCGCCGCCTCTTCGGCTTCAATCAACAGGATCATCGAGCGGAAATCGTAAGCTGTACCATTTGGGCGATCCGGGCTACTTCAGTGGCAAATGAATTTAATTGATCGACCATCCTATTTTACAAAAACACACAATTAAAAAAAACAGACGTTAATACAAGAACACACATTTGTCATGAGAAAAGGGACTTACTTATTGACAGTGTTCTACACAAAGTGCCAGCGACAAACGATAACAATAACGATAACAAGATTATCAATTTGTATGACATAAATTCACCTGAATCAAAAACATATTACAAATGGGAAAAAAAAATCTTACTTTAGCTTGTAAGATTTCGCCCTCAGCCTGGACCTCGATTTTCCTCGAAAAGTCTCCCTTCGCGACGGCCTGCAAACCCAAGTCGACCAAACCGATCCATCAACAAAGATTCTCTTGTTTTTTTTTTATCTTTTGATTGTTGTTGTCGGCAAAAGGGAGAGAAACAAACGGTAGTGACTTCGGAGATATCCCTGACTTGAGCGCTCAGATTACTAGCCAAACTACGAGTGATTTGAGAAAGAGACCAAAAGTGATGAGCCAAAAACGAGCGCCCAACTAATTGAAAACAAAAAAAGAGAAAAGTACCTATTAACGTCCACCAACATCTTCCTCCAAATCCCCGCGGATTCCTCCAAGTCCGCCTGTTTGCCGAGCAGCCCTTTCTGGCCGACGTCCGAGCAGACCTTGAAGACCTGGGAGGTGAACTTGCGCAGCCGGCGGACCAGACTGTTGACGTCTCCCTTCAGGTTCTCTAGGTCTGGGGTCGCCACATCTTCGTTGATCATTTGGGTGAGATCTCCATTCCTTAATGCCTACAATCCACAAACTATTCTTTAGAACAAAAAAAAAGAAATCCCTCTTTCATTTTTGGTTTTGGGTCAAGAGGGACTTACTCGACAGACTTTAGCGATCGCTTTAATGGACGCCTTGAGTCTACGAATCTGTTCGCTTTCGTCGGCAGTAGTGGAGGAGATGGAGCCGGGTCTGGAGGAGAGGGATCCGCGTCTGCGATAATGGATGGGTTCGGATGCGGAGCTCTGGCGAGAATGGTCGAGGGAGGAGAGTTCGTCAAGGGCCGAGGGATGGTCCATGAAGAACATGTGCGAGATCGAGGAGGCTCTGGAGTAGTTGGGCCGTTCGTGGGCGGGCGTGGATGCTTTCGAGTAGCTTTCGGGATCCAAGGGCGTGAAGACCCGTTGACAGGTGTCGCACCGATACGTCGATAAGTCTTCTTCCTCCCCTCCTCCCTCGATCCCTCCCATCGGAATGCTTTCCGCATGCGCCGTCAGCGGTCGTTCCAGCTCAAATCCTTCCTCCTCCATCCGCTTCTCCCCTCCTCCTCCTCCTCCTAACGTCTGAGGCCCCGTCGAGCCCGCGTCTTCTTGCATCGACGACTCCGCATCTATCATCCGCTCGGCTATCTTGATCAATAACTCGATCGCCTTCATCGTCGGGTCGCTTTCTTTGGCCCCATCAAACGTCCCATGCTTCTTCCATTTCTTCTCTAAACTTGCTTGTTTATCATCATCATCTTCTTCTTCTTCTTCGTGTTCTTGTTGATCATCATCATCATCTTGATTATTTGCGTCATCGTTCTCGTCCTGAGCGTTGTTGTCAAAGGAATGATCATCATGGACGTGATCGTGTTGATGTTGTTGTTGTTTTCCAAGCTGATAAGAGTACGAGTTAATATTCTCGCAGGGATGGTTGATCGGGGATGAAGGGGCCAAGGGGGGCGAGAGTGCAGTGATAGTGGTCGTCGAGAGATGGGAGCGATGGGAGTGTTTATGTTGTTTGGGGTGGTTGATTTGGGAGGGCAAGAGATGAGGTTGATGGGTGAGTTTGAAGTCGATGGTGAGTGGGAGACGGGCGGAAGGGATGTTATCGAGCTTGGATGGATGGGTGGAGAGGGTCGAGTTAGGCAGAGAGGCTTGTTGATCGGCCGGCTCGGGGATGTTGTTACTGGTTGTTGATGTCAATTCCGAGGGAGGCGACGGACGACGGAGGCGATAGTAAGGGAATTCGAAGCAAGAGGAGGATGAGGCTGATGAGGCGGAGGTGGTGGATGAGGTGGATGAGTTGAGATGATTGAGTGGTCGATGAGCACGTAGATGAGGTGGATGAGGATGATGATGGTCGGTTTGAGGTGGTGGGGGTTTCAGTGCTGGTGATGTTGAGCATGAGGGTGATTGGGCAAGTGGAGTGAGGATTGAGCTTGAGGAGGATAACTTTCGATGTCGCTGAATGAGCTCCAACTTGAGTGAGACGATGGCACGGATTGGATCGTTCGAAACAGAATAGAGTTGGGAGATCAAGTAATTCTCATCGAGCATCTTGTATTATTATCCTTTTTTTTTTGAATGGTTGTTTGTTAGGTTTTTCCAATGTGTGAGTCTCAAAAATTAAAAAAAAAGAGAGTTTCTCTTGAGGAAAGCGGGGCAGGGGACTAGGAGGGGGGTGATGATGGTATTAAAAGAAAATAAGTGTTTTTTTTTTGGTGTTGAGTTTGTGGGGCAACAGCAATCAAGGTTAATCCGATCCGGAGGAGGAGATTCGAGTGTAGAGTTTACAAGTTCCTTGGGGTGGCCGGTGAGAGCGCAGGGAGAGAGGAACGGGGTTTGGGCTGTTGAGACTAGAAAAGGAAGATTCCTCGTGGTTGGTGGACAAAGACACTAGAAAGACTGGCCCTGGCAGTTGGAGGCCAGGAGGGGGGTCGGAGGAGAGGAGGACTCTTGGCTGTTGACTTGTTGTTGTTGCTGCTGCTGTTTATCTTCTCTTTTTTTTCCTTTTCCACTTCTGATGATGATGATGATGATGATCAAGGTGTTTGTCGTTGCAGGGGGGGTGGTTAATGAGGGGGGGGGAAGCAAGGTGGGGATGATGAGTGTAGACTTCAGTTCAGTTTGTCGAGCAGTCAGGATGTTTTGAAGGAGAACCTGCTGACCTCGATTGAGACTTGTCTTCTTGGTGCTGTTGTACTTGCTGTTGCTGCTGTTGATGTTGCTGGTGTTGGTGTGGGGGAGGAAGGAAGTCTCTGGAATGACCAAGGCTGATCGAGTAACACCAAACAGCGATCAGCTCAAACAACACACCCTAACTTCCAAGTGAATTCTCATGTCAAAGAACCAAAGAGCTCCAACAACGATCATCATCATCCATGAACCATACACTTGTTCCAATCCGAAGTAGCACAAACATGACATCATCGTTCATCTTGATCACACATAAATACACAAATTACTTTCCTTCCCAGCTGTAAAATAAATACAGTGGCACAACCCATGTTACTGTACACCATCACCAGCAAAAAATTTTTTGGCCTTTTGGCCTAATGTTTGTAGGCACTTGGGGTCCATGATCACCCATTTTTATTGTAAATTTGGGCTTTTTGAGGGCAGGAGCTTCCATAGTTAAATGGGCTAAGCCCCCACTGCTCCAACAAAAAAGTTTTTTTTTTATTTGGGGTCAACATTTCGGAATCCTGCATGGGCTTAAATGCCCCTACAGTCTCATATTCATGTCCTTAACTCTGATAACACATAAGTATGGTTTCTCCCACCAAAGCTATGTGCATAAAGTTTAACCTAGATTACATTTTTGTTGCTGCCAAACATGATAATTGAACTCTGGGATGTAATTTTTTTTCCAAATAAGTGGCAAAAGTTGCATCAATTCTAAAATTTCCAAGCCCCAAAACCTCATTTTCCCCCGGATCCTGCCCTTCCCAGGGTAGATTTTCTTGATTTTTTTCCTCCAACCATTTCGGAACCCCAAATCCATGTAGTGGACCGTTATTTTTGGCTGCTTAATGTATTGGATTCTACAACTTCAAGTCACAAGACTTGGTGAAGTGGTGCGAAATAGGTCCCAGAAAATGAATATGAAGAAATTAAAACAAAAAAACAAAGTTTCAAAATTTGTGAAAAATGAAAAATAAAAATATTTTTTTTCCAAAAGCTTTGTTATTGATTTTGGGGGAGTGGGAGTGCTGAGAGAAAGAAAGAGTGGAACATGGGAAGAATGATTATGAATGAAAAAAAATTGGAACCAAAAAAGGTTTGGCCAGGTTGGTTGTCCAGATTGGAGCCAAAACAGTAAATTCTAGTGCTTTACTGCAATGTGGGCTGGTGAATGCCCCAATCAAAAGCTCTTTGAAGCCATCTGGAAAGCAATTTTTCCAAAATTTTCATTCATAATCGTTTTTCTAATATCCTAATCTTCCTTTCTCTCAGCACTCTCAATCCCTCAAAATGAATTTCGACAAAGCTTTTGAGAAAAATAAATCTTATTTTTGATTTTTCACAAATTTTGAAACTTTGTTTTTTATTTTTATTTTTTCATATTCATTCTTTGGGGACCTATTCTGCAACACTTCACCAAATCTTGTGACTTCAAGTTTGTGCTTTGAAGCTCTGGAATCCAAAACAAGCAGCCAAAAATAACGGTCCACCCACTGTACAGTAGGATGGGTTGCACCACTGTACTTAAATTGTAGGATCCCGTCCTTGCTGTAAAACAGTTTTTAAACCGCCTAAATATAATATCAATGACATCAGATCCGCAGTCACTCTGTCTCTGTCTGCGCACTGGATCCTGCAACAACACATCAGATGTCTTGATAAATGTGGCTTCAAGCCTGATTGTTGAAATCCGATATTGAGCACTACAGGAATCGTTGCAGTCCTCGTCATCAATGTGCATCATTGCCAGGCACCTAATTTGGCTATTTAGCAAGCAAGACTGGAGGACTTCCCCTTGGATCTGGGACCCTCTCTGAAGTCAATCTTGACCCACAAACTCTTGATTCTTGCAGAGAAATTTGAATTTCAAGGCTCTGGGAGATCCATATTGTAGAGCGCAGCGGTACAAAAGATTGAGAATGTGAAAACTCCCCCAAGAGGAAAACTATATTTCGGTAAGTGAGGACTATATATACTACCTACAACTATGTACTTGGGTTGGTGAGAAAATATAACTAAAAGTATGTACATAATATGTAAATATATGTATAAAGTATGGAATATGTGAATACATATAAGTACATAGTCCTGTAACAACACATATAAGATGTTGACCAGAAGTTGTCCACTATGGATGTAGAGTTACATATCTTGGGCTCCATTTGGCACTTCATTATATAATAAGTAAAAGAATATGTAGATCCAGCTACAATCAGAATATGTAAGGCTGATGAATCTCAAACCAATGATCACAAAGCTAGATGATCCTCTGCTTTATTCTAGTGGATGTTTTTGGGGGGCTTGGTTAAACGACTCCCAAAAAGTGAAGAGCCAACTCCCAAGCCCCGGAATCCCCACCTTTTGGGAGTCAACCCCCCAAAACCTTTGACTGGTTTGGGAGTCAACTCTCCCAAAAAAAAAATATTAATCCCCCGGTTGATTTAGGAGTCAATCCTCCAAAACCAACCAGGGTTTGGGGGTTGACAAAACAAAAGAACCCCACAGAAGCGGCGGGGAGAATTCCTCCCGGCCGCTCAAATTACACACCAACGGCCAAGAGGAATCCTCTCGGCCATCAAGATTCTGCTCTCAGCGGCCAAGGAGATTTCCCTCAGCCGTCGAGAGTTTACACCTTGGCCGTCAAGAGTGTACACTCTGTTAGAATGCTTATAACTAGTAGTATGCTTATACCAAAACTCATGTGTATTTAGTGTATGACTGGCTCCGACCTTCTGACTCTCACTTACTGAATCTAAACATCATTTATCTTTGTGCTCAGTCAACTGTCACAAGACTCACGTCTGTGACTTTCAGATCTGAGCCTGGTCCACATCAACAGGTTATGAGACCCATCGTCGCTACTGCTCCTATTCGACTTTGGCTATCAATTCTCCTCAATATTGCTCATGTCGGCTCATCAACTCGTCTCTTCAATACTAAACTTATTTGCTTGACTCTAACAATGCCGATTTGCCAGATGAACAACCCTTCGGCTTTAATTCAAACGGTGCCAACTCTTGATGGAAACTCGGTCACGTTCCCCTCTTGGCGAAATCGACTCCAAAATGTCATACAAATCCAAGGGGTCCTCAATATTGTCAACAAGACCTTACCTTGTCCGAACAACACCAACTCAAAGGAAGGGAAACTCTCTATTCGCTCTCTGGAGCAACGTGGCTACAATCCCAAAGACTACGGCGCCGATTGGGACGCTTTGTCGGACATGGCTTGCTCTACTATTCAAATGACCCTATCATTGGATCTCGCGATTTGATATGAGACAGTTAAACCAGCCAGCAAACTCTTTACGACTATCTGTGATGCATATGAAAAGAACACCCGAGCCAGACAAATCCAACTTCAGGAGGCCTTTTGGACTGCCCAACACGATCCAAGTCAGCCAGTTGCGAAGTGGATCGCCCGGCTTTGTATGGCGGCGTCGGATCTATCGAGCGTTAAACTCACACCTGCCGATCAACAGATTTGCAACCGACTTGTCCGTGGCCTCGACGACTCGTGGAAGACGATCAGGGACCATCTTGTATATTCCCCAAACAAAGTCTTGCTCGACGACGCAATTGGAGCGCTCGAAGCTCACGAGATCTCGACAACCACATCGCTAGACCACTCTGACCACGTACATGCCGCTGCCATCGCCAAGGCTAAAGGGAGACCCCGATGCTACACCTGCGGAGAAAAGGGCCATCACTCAACCGACTGTCCAAGTAAGAAGAAGAACATGAAGGCCTCTGCGAAGTCAGTTGAAGCTCGTGCAGGCGCAACCACGGTGGCTCAGTTAGGCAACTACGACTCCAATGAAGAAGACAATGATAGTTTTGACAATGAAATTGACGTCTGGGGATAACAGGACTGGAAGTCGATGTATATTACATTCGTAGTACGCACAACACCGGTGCAAGCTTATGGTTAATTTCTCTTGTCTGCTTGTTTTTGAGTACAGAATTTGTCATGGATTCTCCCTTCTCCCTGCATACTGAGAATCTCTGACCTGGTTAAAATTATTTTTCTGTTCCCCTAAGAGATTTTTTTTACTAGAGGCTATAAATAGTAATTTTTTTTGCTCTGCTTTTAAACCTGATTAGTTTTGTTTTCAGCAAGGGGGGATGTTAGAATGCTTATAACTAGTAGTATGCTTATACCAAAACTCATGTGTATTTAGTGTATGACTGGCTCCGACCTTCTGACTCTCACTTACTGAATCTAAACATCATTTATATTTGTGCTCAGTCAACTGTCACAAGACTCACGTCTGTGACTTTCAGATCTCAGCCTGGTCCACATCAACACACTCTTGATGGCCGAGAGGATTCCTCTTGGCCATTGAGGGTATACACTCTCAACAGCCAAGGGAAACCACCTTGGCTGTCAAGAGTGTACACTCTTGGTGGCCGGGATTGTACACAGCCCTCAAGAGGGTGTACACCTTGGCCGTCAAGAGTGTACACTCTTGATGGCCAGGAGTGTACACTGTAGAGCCCTTTGACAGAAAAAATGGAACCCCTTAATTGGAGTCCAGAGGGCAAACCAATGGACTTGAATTTATGCTTCCTGGTAAAACTGTGTAAAATTAGTTCTGAAGAATGATTCTGACATATTGGATGGGAAAATGTTTTGTAATTCTTTATACATTGTTCCTCATTTTTCTGATTTTTTTTGTATTTTTCAATCATGTTTCAAAGTAGCTCCAAAATCCAGGAGCATCACAATTGCATGTGAAAAGAATGATTAGAAATGAAAAATTGAGAAAAATCAATGATCAAAAGTTTAGAGAGCTGAAGAAGTTGGATTGAGGATGAAATTGAATTCAATTTCAGTGCCTGATTCAATTGGACTAGGGTTGGTCTGGTGGATGATACAATCAAAACATGCTTAAAAAATCTGTTGATCAAATTGTTTTAATTTTTCATTTATAATCATTCTTTTTACATGCAATTATGTTGATGATGATTTTCTGAGCTAGTTTGAAAAATGATTGAAAAATACCAAAAAAATCAGAAAATGGGGAAAGATACACAAAATTTTTACAAGATAATTTCCAATCCAATTTGTCAGAATCATTCTTTAGAACTTATTTTCCACAGTTTCACCAGGAAGCATAAATTGAAGTCCATTGGTTTGCTCTCTGGTCTCCAATTAAGGGGTTCCATTTTTTCTGTCAAGGGGCTGCACACCTCAAAGGCTGAGGTAGTTTTCCTTGGCCGTGGGAGGGCACAACCTCCACGGCCCAGAGTGTACCTCTCAGCCATCACAAGAGTGTACACTTTTGATGGCCAAGATGAATCTCTTGGCCATTGGTGTGTAATCTGAGCAGCGTGGATGAATCCTCCTGGCCGCTTCTGTGAGAGTCTTTGTTTCATTGACCCCCAAACCCTGGTTGGTTTAGGAGGATCAACTCCTAAATCAACCGGGGGATTAATGACTCCTAAACCAACCGAGAGATTAATATTTTTTTAATATTTTTTTTGGGAGAGTTGACTCCCACACCAGTCAAAGGTTCTGGGGGTTCAACTCCCAATAGTCGGGGATTCCAGGGGTTGGGAGTTGGCTCTCCACTCTTTGGGACTCATTTAACCAAGCCCCTTTGTTTTGGTGTTATGGTGTTGCCAGCCAAACATCAATTTTGATCATGGTCATATTAAATGTGGTCACCCAAAACAATCTCCAGGATTTTCCAATGAGATTTCATGAGATTATGATGGACTGCCAAAATGAGCCTTGGAAATTCTTTGGATTCTGTTTGGCCAACCAAAATGTTATATATTGTTATATGCAAATCCTAATAATTGGATTTAAGATTTATTGAACTTGATCCAATTATTACACAACTGTGCAAATCCATTATCATGGTAGTCCAGAATTTCCTCTTGGCTGGAGAATATAAGCAAAAAGTATATTCTGTGATGAATGAGCTGTTATGATGTGACCAGCCAAACACCCTTCTCACCACCAATACCATTATACACCATGGGTGAAGCAAATTGATTTTTTTCTGATTGACAACTCAAAATAAGTTGGTTTGTGTTGTCTGCAGGGGCTGACTGTCACTTGATGGTTGCCAACTTTCCTGAAATTTTTCTCCTGACCCACACCAACTCACCATTAGATTTGTATTGGTGCAAAAACCAGCAACATTTTGGTTCCTAGTGATTTTTTTTAGCTGCTTGGCCGCTTCCGACTTGAAATCAGTTATGATCCAATTTCTTTTTGGGGTGCTTGACCCAGGCAGGGTCAAAAAGCTGCAGGTCTGCTGCCAAAACAGCAGTCACACAACATGACTCAAACACATGATCCTCTGAGTCTTGTGCATGATCAGAGCTGACAAGACACCTGACGATTGCACCAAGTGGAAGTTGTGAGGGAGCTTTCTGTAAAGTTCATATCCTAATGCTTCCCCTGAAGAATTTAAATTATCATCAACGGTGTAAGACTCAAAAGTGGTTGTGAAACCCTTTTGCTGAATGGAGAAGGGGATGGTGGAGTTGCAAGCTCTGCCCTTCTATGCTATCAGAACAACAAGACCACCAAGCTCAGCTTTGCAGTTTATATATCGTGATAGAGGATAGTTCGAGATGAAGCTGTCAAATGAT